ATTTTCATGGGCTGTTCTTCGTAGCTTAAATCCTCCTTTAACTCCAAATCTTCATAATGAAGAATATGCCTAGGGTCTGCAACATACCTCCTCAGCATCGAAACATGAAAAACATTATGTACAGCATCCAACGCTGGTGAAAATGTCAATCTATAGGCTACTGGGCCAACTCTTTCGAGGATCTCAAAAGGTCCAATAAAACGTGGACTAAGCTTCCCCTTTCTACCAAATCGCAAAACACCACGAACTGGTGCAATCTTCAGGAACACATGATCCCCTACCTCAAACTCTAGATCCTTCCTCCTGATATCTGCATAACTCTTCTGACGACTTTGGGCGGTCAAAATTCTCTTCTTAATCTTCTGAATCGCCTCATTGGTCGTTCGTAGCAAATCTGGACCTAATAGCGGTTTACTACCTACCTCCTCCCAATAAATTGGAGTTCGACACCTCCGTCCATAAAGTGCTTCAAAAGGAGCCATCTGGATAGTTGCCTGATAACTATTATTATAGGCAAATTCCACCAAATATAGGTAGGTGTCCCAACTGCCAGCAAAATCAAGTACACATGCACGCAACATGTCCTCGAGAATTTGATTTAATCTCTCTGTCTGTCCATCTGTCTGAGGATGGAACGCTGTACTAAACTTCAGTTGTGTACCAAGGGCTTCCTGAAGACTCTTCCAGAATCGAGAAGTAAACCGCGTATCCCTATCTGACACAACAGAAACTGGTACACCATGCAACCTTACAATCTCCTTTAAATACAATTGTGCCCACTTGTCAACCGAATATGTAGACTTACCCGGTATAAAATGGGCTGTCTTAGTTAATCAATCCACAATGACCCATATCACTGTAAACCCTAACTGGGTTCTAGGTAATCCTGTAATGAAATCCATAGTCACTTCTTCCCACTTCCACTGAGGCACATTTAAAGGTTGCAATAATCCAGCTGGTTTCTGTCTAGGTGCCTTAACTTGTTGACAAATTAAACATCTACTCACATATTCAGCAACATCTTTCTTCATCCCAGGCCACCAAAAGCATGTTTTCAAATCTTGATACATCTTTGTGGAACCTGGATGTACAGTATAGGGCGACTCATGCGCTTCAGATAGAATCTTCCTCTTGATCTCTACATCGTTTGGCACACAAGTTCGGTTCTGCCACTTCAAACATCCATCACCTGTTATCCAGAAATTCTTGATTTCTTCAATCTCAAGTTGCCTCACAACTTTTGAAAAATAAGGGTCCCCGTGCTGACCCCGAATAATTTGTTCCTGCAACGTCGGACAAATAGTCATAAGAGCTAGCTGAGCTGTCGCTTTCCTGACCAAGACAGCTATCTGGGCTCGTTCAAACTCCATCTGAATGTTGTGTTGTCTCGTTAACATTGCAGATGAGTGAGCTGTCTTACGACTCAAGGCATCAGCTACCACATTAGCTTTACCAGGATGATGTAGGATCTCCACATCATAATCTTTTACCAACTCCAACCACCGACGTTGCCTCATGTTGAGCTCTTTCTGGGTGAACAGATATTTAAGACTCTTATGGTCCGTATATACTTGTATCCTCTCACCGTACAGATAATGTCTCCATATTTTCAGAGCAAACACCACAGCAGCTAATTCTAAATCATGAGTTGGGTAATTGCGTTCATAATCCTTTAATTGCCGAGAGGCATAAGCAATAACTCTCCCGTTTTGCATAAGTACGCACCCCAACCCATGCTTAGAGGCATCACTATAAATTACTAAGTTCCCAGTACCGTCAGGTACAATAAGCACTGGGGCTGACGCTAATCTTTCCTTGAGTTCCTGAAAACTACTTTCACAAGCTCGACTCCAATCAAATTTCTTCCCTTTTCGGGTTAACTGAGTCAGTGGTGCGGCAATCCTTGCAAAGTCTTTAATAAAGCGCCTGTAATATCCGGCTAAACCCAGAAAACTTCTCACCTCAGTAACTGTAGTTGGTCGAACCCAACCTATAACTGCCTCCACCTTTGCTGGATCAACAGTTATACCATCCTTGGATACCACATGACCAAGGAATACTACCTTTTGAAGCCAAAACTCGCATTTTGAGAACTTGGCATATAATCTTTGTTTACGCAGAACCAACAAGACCTTCCTCAAATGTTCTGCATGTTCATCGTTTGTCTTGGAATAAACCAAGATATCATCAATGAACACAATGACAAAAGAATCCAGAAAATCCTGGAATACCCGATTCATCAGCTCCATAAACACTGCAGGGGCATTAGTCAAACCAAAGGACATCACGACAAACTCATAATGCCCATACCGAGTACGAAAAGCTGTCTTTGGTATGTCATCTTCTTTGACTCTTATCTGGTGATAACCAGAACGAAGATCAATCTTCGAAAATACCGCTGCCCCTTGAAGCTGGTCAAACAAGTCATCAATTCGCGGTAAGGGATACTTATTTTTAATGGTCACCTTATTCAGCTCCCTATAGTCAATACAGAGACGGAGTGTGCCGTCCTTCTTTTTCACAAACAACACTGGAGCTCCCCATGGTGACACACTAGGTCGTATGAATCCCTGGTTCAACAATTCCTGTAATTGCAACTTCAACTCTTTCAATTCCGCGGGAGCCATCCTATAAGGAGCTTTAGAGATAGGTGTTGTCCTTGGTTCTAGTTCAATACCAAAGTTGACTTCCCGTTCTGGTGGTAAACCAGGTAATTTATCAGGAAAAACATCCAGGAATTCATTCACTACAGGTACAGTTGATTCATCTGTATCCACTCGTCCCACTTCTACCACACTAGCCAGGAATGCCACAGCACCGTGACCAATTAACTTCCTAGCCTTCAAAGCAGTAATTATCTTGGGAACACTTCCCAGCTTTGTACCCTGAAACCGGAAGCTCTTTCCCATCGAGGGGTGAAAAACTATCTCCTTCTTATAACAATCAATACTAGCATGATGAGCAGATAGCCAATCCATGCCCAAAATAATATCGTAATCATACATATCTAGCACCATTAACAACACGTCTAATGATTGGCTGGATACTTCTACTTTATTCAGTTTCACCTTTTCACGGGTCATCAACATGACTCCTGAAGGTGTAGAAACTAAAATCTCATAACCTAAAGGCTCTACTTCAAGTCGGGCTTGACAGACAAACGATAATGATATAAAAGAATGCGTCGAGCCAGAATCAAATACAGTATAAGCAAAATAGCCAGATATGGGTAAAGTACCTGTCACCACCGTGCTGGCATCCCCCGCTGCCTTGCTTGTCGTGGCAAAGGCTTTACCTCGAGCCTGAGGATGTCCCCCGGCACTCAACTGACCCCCTCCTCCACCTGGAGTAGATCGCTCAGGGCGCATCATATTAGGGTTCTTTGCACTACGACATACTCTGGCGAGATGACCAGTCTTGCCACAGTTGTAACATATCTTGTCTGCAGCATTACAAGATCCCGCATGAGTTAACCCACACTTACTACAACCTGCCCTCCCTTCACCGGAATAAGGCCGACGATCAACTCGCTGTGGTACCATCTGCTGTTGCGAACCCGTGGATATTTGAATAAATTTTCGTTTACCACTTGGTCGTACCTGACTGCTAGAACCCTGATTATTTCTCGGGGTGCTAGCATCTAATTTCACCGCAGCATTATAAGCCGTAACAAAATCTTGAGAAGCATGGGCAGACACGGATCCCTGTATCTCTTGCCTCAAACCTTGAATAAAGAGATCCGTCTTCTCTTCCTTAGTAGCAACCATAAGAGGGACAAATCTGGATAATCGTGTAAATTCCGCCTCATACTCCTCTACTGACCTATTACCCTGTTCCAATTGCATAAATGCTTTTCGGTTTCGCAATCTCGCTAGAGGAGGATAATATTTCTCACAAAACTCATGTCTGAAGGCCGCCCATGTGATTGGGGCCCCACCAGCCTCCATCTTCGGCTTCTTTGATTTCCACCAAAAATGGGCTGGCCCCTCCAACAAATATGTAGCACACAACACTTTATGATTCTCTGGGCAGTTGTAGAATGTAAACTTGGTTTCAATACATTCCAACCACCATTCAGCTGCCTCAGGGTCAGTCCCTTTTCCTCCAAAAGTTGGCGGGGCAAGTTTCATGAAATCTCGTATGTACTCACTCTCCTCTGTCATACATCGTCGGCCATAAGTTACTACCCGCGATGGTGCCTCTGTCACCACAGCTGTACCAGGTAGCTCTGTCAACCGTGTTGGAGGTATTACTGTCTGAACACCTACTCCCGGTGCTTCAGACACTAATGTCGTCTGACCCGATACAGGTGCTGTTGGAGCCGCCTGGCTTCCAAGACCAGCAAGGGCTGCCTGTACCGCTTGGTCCACCCGGCTCTACATCGCCTGATCTACTCGACTCTCAATCAATGATTGTAATGCCTCCAAAGTAATCACAACAGTCGGCTGATCTCTAGATGCCGACTGAGCAGCAGGCTCCGGAACCGCCTCTGCTGGAGCAGTTTCCTCTGCAGGCTGCCCCTCATTTCCCAAGTCCACATTGGATGTACCAGGGTCTAAATTCTTAAATACGACCATATCTGTCACATACATAATTAAGTAGTCATCATCAATTCTTTTAAAATTTTCATATTTTTTTTTTTTTTTTCATACAACTTAATCATACATCACTTACCTAACCGAGGCGAGATACCGCTGAGCTGGACTAAAGGAATCCATACTGTCTATTCTAAACTGTCTACAGAACCTATAACCTAGGCTCTGATACCAACTTGTAACACCCGCTCCTCGACAACGCGATTAACAGGAGTTACTATCGACAATATTAAGAGACTCTGATACCCAATCATAAAATTAAAAATATTTCTAAAAACATCCAGTAAAATATTTTAATAAAAAAAAACAGTACTTCAAAAAACTTAAAACGACTAAGGTAAATTCTTGACAACGAAAACATAATTACAAAACAGACCCAGACATGGATTCCCAATAGTCTCTAACCCGCTGGTCTCGTCCTCGGCTGGCCTGCAGCATCTACATCTGGAAAGAAAAGTTATAATAATTCTGATGAGTAATTAGATTACTCAGTAAGTAGCTAGCTTATCATTCATGGGTTCATAACTAATCTTTCCAGGTGTTTTTACGTTTTATTCATCACTGACTCCTAGTTCTCTTACTAAGGTCATCTATTCGTTAATGAGGTATCTCAGCTACCTCCAGCTAGGTTACTGACTCTCCTTCGATATGCTTACCTAGAATTTTCGGACTCGTATGTAAGACTCGCTCTCGGTCAAATACGGCCCGTCTACTAATTGCTCTGACGGCCTGTTTATCTCATATACCAACGGTCAGGAGTACTCATGCTCCCTGACTTAGCACACAGCGCGTTGGTCAGGAACCCCGCGGGAATTAGTAGACTATCATACTCATATAAATAAGTCATAACTCAACAACCAATAAGCATATCTAGAGTCATAACCTTTCCATTAACATGCATAACATACTCACAGTTAATGCATACTCTCATACATGTATTATGATCAACACATAGAACATTCTGACAATCATTTATATTATGCTTACATCACAGGCAAGCAGTCACAATATACAATAAACACTCAATATCATCGAAGCTCATCATAACATATTAAGCTCTTAATCAGGTAAACAACATACTCACATGTTGTAAAACAAGTTAAGAACTAGTTCAAAGGTCGATACGCTACTTGGTTGCGAACTCCTTTTCCCCCTTGAATGTACGTTTAATAGTATTTCAACACAATTCCTTCCTATTAGACCTATATTTTATCAATTCCAACATAAGTATAGACCAATTTTGATAGGACAGGTCAAAAGGAGTCGAACGGGACAAACCGGGAGCCAAAATACCTTCTCACGCGCCCTCACGCGCCAACACAAGGTCGGGGTTCGTTTCTCACGCGCCTGACCCGCGCACAGTCGCGCTTCCACTCGCGGCCTCCCCACGCGCCTCGCGTGTCCTTCACGCGCTCGTCTTCAACCTCTCCTCCCTGCAATTTTCCCCAATCTTTTCCTTTAATACCCGTTGTGTCCCGAAGCAAAAATTTCATCTCTACAGCCCGAATTTCGTTCTGATTTCTTCTACAACTTTATAGATCTTCTAACTACGGTTCTAACAAGCCTTATTTCATAACTTATTATGCAGTATGAATCAAGATATCGAGATTTAAAGGTTCGGTGATGTGGGTTTTTCGTTACCTTCGAATTACCGTCCGATTCAGCTCGTGGCTGTATCCCCTTCCTCAAACGATTCCTCAGCAACAACCCCTCTTCCTTTACCCTCGATTGATGTCCAATTTTAAGTAACCAAAACTCGAATTCTCAGAAAATTTCCTCCTCTGTTTTCTGGGTTTTTTCGCGAATCACCAATCTTCGTTTTTCTTCCTTTTTAAAGCGTAATCCAGCCCTAATACGCTTCCACCTCCTCTAATCATCCTCTCATCCATCCCACGCCTCCAATCTACGCGTCCGCCGCCCCTCATCCTCCTTTACAGCAGTTGCTTGACGCAGCTGCTTCGTTTTCGTTTTTT